GGGGTGGACGGATGACACAGAGGGACACCTGTCCACCTGTTAGAGATGGGGGTGGACGGATGAGACAAAGGGACACCTGTCCACTTGCTACAGATGGGGGTGGACGGATGAGACGAAGGAACACCTGTCCACCTGTTACAGATGGGGTGGACGGATGAGACAAAGGGACACCTGTCCACCTGTTACAGATGGGGGTGGACGGATGAGACAGAGGGACACCTGTCCACCTGTTACAGATGGGGGTGGACGGATGAGACAAAGGGACACCTGTCCACCTGTTACAGACGGGGTGGACGGATGAGAAATCCACAATGGACGCCCTGAAGAGGAGCCAGCTGAAGGTTAGGCCACGCCCCTCACAGTCCCCCGACCTAAACATCATTTAACATGTGTGGATAGAGCTCAAAGAGCAGAGCATGAAGAAATCCTCCAAACAAGAACTGAGAGACTCTGAAGAAGAAGAAGAAGAAGAAGAAGAAGGGGGCGCTACTGAGCACTGACCCTGCAGGGGGCCCAAACTTTGGCTTCAGGACCTTTTTTTTGTTATTTTGAAACTGTAAAAGATGAAATTAAAAGTTTAATCTTTATTAAAATATTAAAGAAATGTTTCATCTTTAACTTCATGACTTTTATAGATCAGTTCTTCTACTCACAGTAAACAAAAGTTTGACCAGGGGAGCCCAAACTTCTACATGACTCTGTAGGTTTGTGTCCTCCTCATATCTCGAGAAGCATTCATCAGATCTACTTCACACTCAGCAGGTGTATTTCTGGGGACCCAAACAGAACAGTCCCTACAGCATTCAACAACAGATGATCAAAGACGGACCGGAGATATTATATTGTGGTAAACTCAAATATTTTAAGCGTCAGTGACATAACTTCTGCAATTAAAGATTTTGTTCTTGGACTGAAGGAAGTGCAGAACTCTACAGAGTCAAACATGAGGTCACAGCGAGCCATCGGCGGATCACTGACTGCAGATCGTGTTGGATATACTTATGTTACAGCCGAACTCTTCTTCACTTTCCCGGAGTCAACGGGACAGGGTCTTACAGGATCAGAGACACTGCTGATTGCTGCAGCAACTCAAAGTGTGAACATTCTCCATACTAACCTTTAAAACTAACGTTACCGTCGGTAAAATACCTCTGCTAACAAAACCCATCCTCAACTTTATAAACACAGTGGTTCAAGAAAGTAACTAATTAAAACTTCCACTGACTGTATTTATTTTATTCTGACTGTAAGTAGCTGCGACTCATGTGAGTGATGTGACTATGTCACGGCAGGTGACAAGTGTGTTCCTCAGGACCTAAAGAAGAGAACAGTTAACTATGAAGTTGTTTGTATGAGCAGTTCTCGAGAGTTCAGATCAGACACTGAACTGGTTTAATTCATGCTGAATAATAAAAACCACCAAATTCACAGCACTGAAATATTTTACTTTGAAAATCGTCACCTTTGTTGCTGCCGTCCTCATCAGATACATGACGGACTGAACGCAAACATAAATCTGTGATAAGAACCAGATATTAGACCAATCACATCTGTTAAAACATCTACTGATCAATTCATCCATTCATTTTCATCCTCTTATCAGGGACTGGGTCTTGTCCTCCAGACATCCCTCTCCCCAGCTCTGTCCTCCAGCTCCTCCTGGAGGATCCCGAAGCATTCCCAGACCAGATGAGATCTATAATCCCTCCAGTGTGTTCTGGGTCTGCCCCGGGGCCTCCTACCAGCTGGACCAGGAGGATCCTGATCAGATGTTGAACCACCTCAACATGAAGGAGCAGCGGCTCTACTCCGAGCTCCCTCCAGATGTCTGACTCCTCCCCCTATCTCTAAGGCTGAGCCCAGACACCCTACAGAGGAAACTCATTTCAGACGCTTGTA